GGTTTAGCAGCATAAATAACAAAAAAGCTAAATTCCTCATAAATAATATCCATATACAAAAATTGAGGATACCACTGAAAATGGCTCTTATATTTGTTTGAAAATCGAATTTTTTCTAATTCCTTAAAGATTTCTGCATATGCCTAGTTGTGCTACCGTCCCCGCGGAAATGTCCAGACATCGTCAAAACATTTTTTTCTAATTTTTCAAAAGTGATCAGTCGAAAAATCTCCTAACGCTATTATAAGATGTCAATAATTAAGCGCCCAAACTCCATGTTGTTAGCTGGCATGCGAATTACGCAAATTTCATTAAATCTGCGCATTTTTCCATAGGATCACTGATCTTTCCTTGCATTGACACGTGTCACCTCCAGTCAGCTGATATCTCACGGACTTTTCTATTTAATGCCCTTGCAAATAACCGACAATTCGCATCACATTTACCGTTAAAAAAGGTGTCTATTCCTGTCAAAACTCAAGACTATAATTTGGTTAAAATTTACCTTACAATAATTGGTGGTGAATCTCAAAGGTGATAATATAATAATTTTTTTGACGCAGGCCCCACAGAATGAGAGTATTAGGCCAAACAACTTTTCCAGTTTATTAATCAAATTTGAAGCGCACATTGTGATCATTAGTTGGTGCATTAGGCACATTTAGAATGTACAGAAGGATAAAAAAATACTTTGTTTTGAAGCCTTTGCAACAGATGTGCATTAAAGAATTGCTAAATAGACTAAGGATGATTGCATACAGTTGGAGTTTTGCATTGATTAAAATAATGATATAGGATGCTGCGGATCTCTATAGGTATACCGAGGAGCATGGCGCACGCTCAGCCTCATGGGCTAATCAGAAAAAGTAGTTTTGGCACACGTCGTGCACGAAACAGTTTGATTGGCGGAGAAACTGATGTCGAGTTTTGTGTAGTCAAGCCATTAGCAGCCTTTTCGTGTGTGTACACATAAACACAGCAATAAAATAAATTGAAACGAATTTAGATCAGGGTTGAGCTCATTATTAAAACAACCAGAATACGAACTATCTTTAGCGATATTTTGCTAGCAAAGATCAAGTAGTGCATGTTAGAACCTATTTGTTTAGTCAGAAAAAAGAAACTTGGTTTAAAATTTATGCTAACTAATAACACTAAACACTGATCGTTTGGGACAAAGTCAATTAAAGACTGTTGTTGATGGCTAAATTTTGATGGATTTTTCACCATCACCACGCAATTTGTAATAAGCACCTTGAAATCGGACGCCTCTATTATTGTGTTCATTGCTCCATCCTCTAATCACATTATGTAGCTGTACAGACCAGAGCTCTTTCATTCCGTATAAATGTGTAAATTCACAGATTAATCTATTTTTGAATATAGGGCAATCCTTAAAATATCACCGGTGCCTGTCCATTGTCGAGCATCTTTGAGGCGTTCTCTTTCCACAGTGTA